GTTGCCAGAAGAACAGATTTCGGTTGCCAGAAGAGCAGATTTCGGTTGCCAGAAGAACAGATTTCGGTTGCCAGAAGAACAGATTTCGGTTGCCAGAAGAACAGATTTCGGTTGCCAGAAGAACAGATTTCGGTTGCAAGAAGAACAGATTTCAGTTGCCAGAAGAGCAGATTTCGGTTGCCAGAAGAGCAGATTTCGGTTGCCAGAAGCGCAGATTTCGGTTTCCAGAAGAGCAGATTTCGGTTGCCAGAAGCGCAGATTTTGGTTGCCAGAAGCGCAGATTTTAGTTGCCAGAAGAGCAGATTTTGGTTGCCAGAAGCGCAGATTTTGGTTGCCAGAAGAGCAGATTTTAGTTGCCAGAAGAGCAGAAATTTTGTTGCCAGAAGCGCAGATTTTGGTTGCCAGAAGAGCAGATTTTGGTTGCCATAAGCGCAGATTTTGGTTGCCAAAGGCGCAGAATTTGGTTGCCAAAGGCGCAGATTTTGGTTGCCAAAGGTGCAGCTTTTGGTTGCCACAGGTACAGCTTTTGGTTGCCACAGGCCATGGCCAAACAATAATAGGTGGCATAATATCATAATAGGTCAAGCCATACAATGACAGGTGGCGCCATACAATGACAGGTGGCGCCCTTCAAGCGAGGGTGCAATATTGAACACCAGCCTGATAAAGTGTGTTCTTGCTTTCACTAACTTTTCAAGCCCTGTGGGTTTTTTTTTAGGGACAACTGTTTTGACTTTCAAAAGTTTGGAAAAGCTTGGAGCCAGACAAACCCATTAGACCCGACAAACTGTTAGGCCCGGCAAAATTTCAGGCCAGACCAACCCTTAGGGAAGACAAACCATTAGGTCAGATCTACAAAGCCTGGCCAGACCAACCCTTAGGGAAGACAAACCATTAGGTCAGATCTACAAAGCCTGGCCAGACCAACCCTTAGGGAAGACAAACCATTAGGTCAGATCTACAAAGCCTGGCCAGACCAACCCTTAGGGAAGACAAACCATTAGGTCAGATCTACAAAGCCTGGCCAGACCAACCCTTAGGGAAGACAAACCATTAGGTCAGATCTACAAAGCCTGGCTAGACCAACCCTTAGGGAAGACAAACCATTAGGTCAGATCTACAAAGCCTGGCTTACAGATCAACCTTTGATCCCAGATATTTTCCTTATCTGAATACTGAAATATTACATAGGAAATGGCGTCGACGGGCCGTCGAGCCAAAGCTCTTTATGCCCCACCCCCTAGACCGCCCGAGTATCGGGCCGTGAAGCGGCACATTGGAGATCTTTCTTGGCCAGGACAGCCCCCACCACCACCCACTCGATCGGGTAACAACGGAGGTCACCCCAGCCCAGTGACGCTCCTCTTACAGCGTCTGCAGTCTACTTTCCCCAGGGGTCGGGATGATATATTTACGTCCTAAAAGCTTGCCCCTCTTATCCCGGGGTGGCGACAGACACCCTCTAATAGGGATTACTACAGTGGGTTTCCAACTCGCGACTAATTTACAAAGCAGCTGGGACGAAACGGTTGCCCAAGAACAGCTTCCCCAATGCTATTTAAATAGAATCATCAGCATGAGGTTTCCAATAACCAACACCATGCCTCATACCCGTTAACGGCAACATGCAATCATGATCACTAAACACTAGAGCAGGGGTGGCCAGACCTGTAGTAACTGAGAGCCATTTTTTAAATTAAACAAATTGTTGAGAGCCGCATTCAAGCACTATGGGTCACGACCCCACTCGCAATGAAAACATCCTTTTGTGATTTATTTTTTAAAAATTACTTTTTATTCGAATTTAATGATTTAAACATTTCAATTGTTTTAACACTAACCGTATGTTGAAGAAATATATGCGTTACAGTTACACAATTGAAGAAATATATGCGTTACAGTCACACAATTAACAAATATTTAAATATGTACAATTTATGAATAGAAACACACTGCATATATACTCATAATTATAGTGAACATTAATTGTTATGATTCTGCTGAGAAGCCTTTGAGCTAGCAAGTTTCTTTAAATCTGGTTGGTAGCTAGTAGTTGTGGTGCGAAGAAGTTCTGTCAGATGCTGGTTACTAGTTACTGAATGTGTTTACCAAAGACTAGATGCTAACATTAAAATCATAAGGCCTCAGTCCTCTTTAGGGAAGAAGCTCCACTCAATATCTAGAAAACTTGATATCAATAAACGTTTCTTTGTGCTCTATGCTTGTTTTTTTGTTTTTAAATGTGATTTAAGGTAAATAAACGAATTGATTTAAACGGTGGTGTTGGTTGTTTTTTTTTACAGTATCGCCAGAGTATCACCACAGTATCACCACAGTATCACCACAGTATTACCACAGTATCACCACAGTATCACCACAGTATCAACACAGTATCAACACAGTATCACCACAGTATCACCACAGTATCACCACAGTATCACCACAGTATCACCACAGTATCACCACAGTATCACCACAGTATCACCACAGTATCACCACAGTATCGCCACAGTATCGCCACAGTATCGCCACAGTATCGCCACAGTATCGCCACAGTATCACCACAGTATCACCACAGTATCACCACAGTATCAACACAGTATCAC